GAAATATTGTTATAATATTCAAGAGTCTGTCGCTTCAACCTATATTAAATATTGCAAAAAAATATTACTGCAATATTTGTGTGCTATCTGGGTAGGGCATAAAATCAAGCTGGGCAAAGAAAACCAAATTGCGGAAATCAAACGCATGGGTGGCATTCAGAAATTTGAATTATATTTGTAAAGATAAAAAGATACCCAAGGTCTGACACAGTTCAACTAAGAAAGGAAGAACTTGACTACGAAATGTTAAATTTTCTGATCGAAATCGAATACGAAGCCACAACTCACAACGGATTCGAGGCTGCCTGAGGTCTAGTGGGGACAAATGGCTTTAGTCACAACTGCAGGTATTCACGGATTATCTTGTTCTTATGAAAAAGTCTATTTGGGATCCACAAAAAAAATCAGTTGAAACCAGAATGGAGGAACGTCAAAGAAATTGTAGATTAGCACAAATAGAAAAATTTAAAGCGGCGGAACATGACCTCAACGAAAGAATATTCAAGATGAAATTAGCAGAAACAAGGGGCTACCGCCCTCGACTAATAATACAGGCCATTGTAAACTATAAGCAAAATAGCGTCAAGCGTAACAAAGTGAACAGGAATATGACGACAAACCGACCACGAATGAAAGGCACCTAGAGACGGTCTCCTGCTTGCGAAAGGTCAGGAAGTAATTCTTCTAAACGATGACTTTTGATTGTTAATATCTACTCCTTAAGTTAAGAAATATAGCCTTAATAAAACACCCTGTTTAATTGGATATTTGGTCAACAGATGCGTGCACGAGTACATGGACATCTACTCGGAGGTGACGCAGCCGGAATTGAACGAGTTGGTGCACTCGCCCTTTGGTGGACGCTACTGCGGCCCTATCCCTCCCCGCAGCAGAGTTTCACTGTACCGAGCGCTCGCTTTCTCCTTCCATTCGGACAAGAATATTTCGATTCCCGACCTGTTTGCAGGCCGGTATTCCTTCATCAACGACTGTAAGTACCCAGCCATTCGACCTGTTTCTATATATTTTCGTACTCCACCCTTTAAAAGAATTTACCACAATTTTGAATCACCATATACAGTGATTCTCCCGGGTGACAATAAAAAAAAGGATGTTAGGCCTAATTAATTTTAGAATGTTTTAAAGTGTTGCAATTGTGATGTATTTTAATGTGTGATATGATGAGGCTGTTGACGAACTATGGTTGTTTTTTTAAATTAATAAAAAAATTTTTTTAACTATGTTATTTTGGAAAAACTGATGATGGTGGAAAAATACACCGAAACGCATTTTAATTGATAAATAAAGACAATAAATGACTGAAACCCAGGAATTAATTTTGATTTGGAATTGAAACACAGTCAGGAAAGTATATACA